TTTTTTTTTTGTTTTGTTTTTTTTTTTCCCCAGACTTTGCACCAACATATGAGTATTTATTATCCAAGTTTCCACTAGCTAGTCTATACCTGAGTTATGCACCACAATGGGACATATGTGATTGTGTTTTTAACATGATATTTTCAAGAAAGCTATTCAAAGGTTCAAGACCTTTTAAAACTTAAATAAAAATATACCTCCAGAGACTGGGAATAATTGTGCTGTTTAAATTATTGCACAATGACTTATGCATGTGAAAGAGTGTCGTGCAGTGTAGAGTTTGATTCTACTGTTCAAATGTAGGTCACTGCACTCATCAAGGAGAGTACATGGGGGTGGGGGAAGAGCATAAATCTCCTTATTTATATGTGTTCCTACTTTTATTTACATGTTAGACTCTTCCCAGTTAACTATCTTTGTACCATCAGTCATTTCAGTCTTTTATTTTTTTTTCCTCATTAAATGTTTGTTTCAGTTACTCTTCTTTTTTGTGTGATTTGTTATTACAATTTAAGGGGAACGTTTAGTGCTTGCTGTCTTTTATTGTACTGGTCAGTCTGGCAAATTTAATGTGTATTTAAAATTGGTCTAAATTTTATTGTGAGAAGTTTGTTAGAGAGTGTTACAAACTCAGAGAATTAAAAATTAGTCCATGAATATCTGAGCATATCATTTTCAGATATTTTATGTCACTGATTTTCCCCATTTTCTTTCATTTTGAACAGTTTTATTGATGTCCTGTAACACGGACGGTTAGAAAAGAGGGGATGTATGAAGTCTGGATGAACCGAACAGCAGAAATAGTGGAAGGGTTTTGCACACACAGAGATTACGTTGTTCTGTTCTATGACTTTAGATGGTGCTGTTGCCTAAGCACACTGCTGGTGTGTTTAATGAATCTGTCTCCACCCGTCTCAGACAGAAAACAAGGATTGGATTTCTACTCACTCCATTTGGACTGAGATGTGGCTTTGCTTGATTCTGAACACTTTGTAAAACAAAAAAGAAAAAAAAAAGAAGGTATATTTTTCATCATTTTCATCACCGTATGGATCACTGAATTTTTCATATTTCTTGAGACGAAATGGGTAATCTGAAACACAGAGGCCGTATGCTCGTTTGGAAAATCTCCATTTTGCTTTTCTGCCTTCATGCTGCGGTCAGCGGGCAAATTCGCTATTCTATACCAGAGGAAATGAGGAAAGGAATGTTTATTGGAGACGTTGCGAAGGACCTAGGATTGGACATTAGAAGGTTGGTCTCCGGTCGGGCTCGACTTGTAATAGATGATGAGCATCAATATGTCTCGCTGAACCAGAACAAAGGACACATCGTGGTCAATGAACGGATTGACAGAGAAATCCTTTGCGCAAAAAAGTCGCCCTGCAGCTTTACTCTAGAAATTGTTCTGGAAGATCCACTCGAGTTGTTTGCAATTACAATTGAGATACAAGACGTGAATGATCACGCTCCCGTTTTCCCGAAAAATGAAATTAATTTAGAAATTAGTGAATCGACGTCCGCTGGCACGGTTTTTCTGCTCGATAGCGCAGTTGATCCCGACGTGGGAATAAATTCACTGCAGGCATATTCGTTAAAAGGAAATGAACATTTTGTTCTTAAGCAACATACCAGAGCCGACGGTAGTAAATATCCTGAAATGATGCTTCAAAGTAATCTGGACCGTGAAAAACAAGGCGAGCATATGCTGATATTAACAGCGGTTGATGGTGGAGAACCGCAAAAATCAGGAACCGTAAAGATTCATGTGGCCGTCTTAGATGCAAACGACAACGCGCCAATATTCACGCAGTCATCATATAAGGCATCTGTTTTGGAAAACGTTTCACCAGGTGTGATTATAGCGAAAGTCAGTGCGGGAGATGCGGATCAGGGTTACAATGGGAACATCACATATTCCTTCACCCACCAAAAAGATGATTCCTCGTGTCCTTTTGAGATTAATCCCACCAGTGGAGAGGTTAAACTAACTGGTGAGCTAGATTTCGAAATGTATCCGAGTTATGAAATAAATCTTCAAGCTAAAGATCCGTGGGGGTTAGCAGGTGCCAGCAAGTTAATGATTGAGGTAGCAGATGTAAACGACAACAGCCCCGTCATTACAATGACGTCATACTCAGGGAAGATTTCTGAGGATTCTCCCTTTGGTACAGTGGTGGCTTTGATTAGTGTCCAAGATAAGGATTCAGGGAGAAACGGCCAGGTGCACTTAACTATAGGTGAAAATCTGCCATTTAAAATTAAATCGTCTCTAAGAAACTATTATACGCTGGCGACAGAACAAATCCTCGACCGGGAGAGACACTCTAAATACAACATTACTCTCACTGCCACTGATGAAGGCGTTCCTGCTTTATCAAGCACGAAGGTTTTAGGTCTAGAAGTTACTGATGTTAATGACAATGCTCCCGCATTTATCAAGGATAATTATATTAGTCAGGTTATGGAAAATAATCCTCCCGGTGTTTCATTGCTGCAGGTCCACGCAAAGGACCCAGACCTCGGTCAGAACGCACGTATTTCGTATTATCTTATTGACAGCGAAATTAATGGAAATCCAGCGTCAACGTATTTCTCAGTTAATACAGAAAGTGGAGACATCCAGTCGTTGCGTTCATTTGATTATGAACAACTCAAAGAATATAAAATACGTGTAAAAGCACAGGATGGAGGTTCTCCTTCACTCCGCAGTAACACGACAGTTATAATACGCGTCCAGGACCAGAATGATAACCCTCCTCAGGTTCTGTACCCAGTCCAGACTGGTGGCTCCATGGTGGCTGAAATGGTGCCTCGTTCAGCAGATGTGGGCTACCTGGTGACTAAAGTGGTGGCTGTGGATGTGGACTCTGGACAGAATGCCTGGCTCTCCTATAAACTCCAGAAAGCCACAGACAGAGCGCTGTTTGAAGTGGGCTTACAGAATGGAGAAATAAGAACTATCCGTCAGGTGACTGATAAAGATGCTGTGAAACAAAGACTGACTGTCATAGTGGAGGACAACGGGCAGCCCTCTCGTTCAGCTACAGTCATTGTTAACGTGGCGGTGGCGGACAGCTTCCCTGAAGTCTTGTCGGAGTTCACTGACTTTCCACACGATAAGGAATACAATGACAACCTGACTTTTTACTTAGTGTTGGCTCTGGCTGTGGTTTCCTTCCTCTTCATCACGTGTTTAGTGGTTATTATATCAGTGAAGATCTACAGATGGAGACAGTCTCGCATCCTGTATCACTCCAGCCTCCCTGTGATTCCATATTATCCACCTCGTTACTCAGACACTATGGGAACAGGAACTCTGCCACACGTGTACAATTACGAGGTGTGCAGGACGACTGACTCCAGAAAGAGTGACTGTAAGTTCGGAGGAGCTGGTAGTCAAAATGTGTTGCTAATGGATCCCAGTTCTGTTGGGACGATGCAGCGGATACAGAGTGAGAAGAGCATCCTGGATGAACCCGACTCTTCAGTAGAGGTTAGCTAAGTTTTCATTCATATATTTGTTGCTTTGTCTTAAACATTTGTAACATTTTTTTTAGAAAGGATACTTACCAACGCCACACCAGTTTATTCAACAAATTGCAACGTCTCATTCTTATAAAAAAAATGACATCAGCAAAATATCCGGTTTTCAGCTTTTACACATTGAGTGTCTGCAGAACAGTGCAGAGACTCGGTGCTTTTTGCTAATGTACTTTAAGCAGGTACTAGATGGCTGCATGGAAACATCTGTGTGTGTAGCTCATTTTTTAAATGCGTTTTACTTTGTAATTGAGTAGTAAAAAATTTATTATTTTTTCCAGTAACATTCAAATTTAATGAACATTAGTGTTTATCATATTAAAGGTTTGTTTGAGTGCAATGTAAAGATAAAACAAGTCAATAACTGGTGTGCTCATTATTTCTGTGAAGTTACTGTTTTTCTTAACTCAGTAGCTCACTAGGATATAATGAGATCTACGCGACTGACCATTGCCTGCAGCTAATTCGCTCTCCGTGGTCCTGAACTGCTCTAGCGCTTAAAAGTTAGCTTGCCTTTCTAGTTGTTCTCTTCAGATTAATTAAGAAACACTTGATCTAAAAACATTTTTTTATTTTTTTATTTTAGCTAAACTTAATATATCACTGTATTACTGCAGACTGCCTATTCGTTTTCTGGTGACAAACTTGTTATTTTTCCATTAATAATAATAATAATAATAATAATAATAATAATAATAATAATAATAATAATAAATAACGTTTTTCAAATTGGTTTTTAAAGTAAGTCTCTGTTATTTTCTGATCATGCTTCAATTGACAACAATTATAAATATACAAGCAAATACTAAGACTAAGTAGTATTTGCTTAGTCTTAGCAAATACTACTTTGCTAATTATTTATTACATTTAAATAATTAAATGTAATTATTTATTACATTTAATTTCTAATGTAATAAATAATCTGAATTTCCATGCTCATTATTTAGCTTAATTTAAAAGCTGGTAAGAATTTCAACTATAAATGTGCTGCATTGTTTTTTAATTTAATATGTTTTTTTCATTACATCATATTAGGGTGATTTTTATAAAGAGAAAAGTGTCAGTGACAGACAGGTAGACTGCAGTGTTATTGTCCTTGGTTCTGAATTGCTGGTTTTTGAGTTAAAGTTTTTGCTTCCACTGGAATGAGGTGTGTTTTCGATGGAGATACTTTAGCTGAAGCTATTACTATAGTTTGGATGCAATATCAGCTAATGTACCTTGCTTTTTGCTTGCTAATTATATTCAGCTATGGATATTTAATATTCCAGTGTATCAAAGGCATCAAAATCATCACAGTTTACACATCATTCCATATTTTTCTATTTGTTTTTCTTTGAAAGTATATATTGTACTGAAGATTTGTTAATTTATTAGACCATACATAACATGACAATTCAAATCTTATACTTGGAATTGTTATGAAATATTCCAAATTTAAATATGGGTAATTACACTCATTCTGTAGATTTATGTTTGTTTATTGAATTCAGGTTGCTTTACCCAGATCAGGCCATAATCAGTAAACAATGAATATTGTCTTTTACTTGCATGTTTCTCATACATTTATTTAGATGCATAAATGCATAACTTAGTGTTTTTGAGACAGCAGGAAAAGAGTTCTTTTAAAAGTTATGCTAGACATTTTAAGTTATGCTAGACATTTTTACCCAACACTAAGCAATGAGACAAAAAGAGGTCAAGTTAGGAGTTCTTCATTTTCTCCTCTAAGTGACGCTGTTGTCTGGTGAATGCGGGAGACTTTTGGAGCATATTAAGGCAGAGCTGTTTTATTCCTTCGTCATTGCATTTTACATCAGCAGACTATAGACGTCAATCCACAACACGATTTTATATTTGACTACGGAATAATTTCAAAGAAAATGTTCCCGTCACTGAACTAAAACATTTTTATATATATATATTGTCGCTTTGTTTGCTCGAAGACTAGTTTTTACATGGAGTTCAAAGACCTGCAACAAGAAAACGGTGTAAGATGGCGATTGGGGCTTGTGTGCCTTGTGCTGCTGTCCTTTCTTCATCCGGCAAATGCCCAGGTCCGGTACTCGATCCCAGAGGAGCTAAAAATTGGTTCTCTTGTTGGCAACATAGCGCAGGACCTCGGTTTGGATCTGACGAGGCTCCATTCGGGTCGGGCCCGCATCGTGACCGGAGAAAACATCCAGTACACCGAGCTGAAAGCAGACAAAGGGACTTTAATCGTGAATGAGAGAATCGACCGAGAGCAGCTCTGTGGAGATGCCACACCGTGCAGCTTTACGTTTGAGATTTTATTGGAAAATCCAATGGAGCTACACCCTGTAACTATAGAAGTGCTGGACGTGAACGACAACGCTCCCACCTTCCAGACCAATCACTTGGAATTTGAAATTAGCGAATCCGCAGCACTCGGCTCCCGTTTTGGTTTAGAGAGCGCGGATGATAAAGATGTTGGTCAGAACGGCCTGCAGAACTACATTTTAACTCCAAACGATAATTTCGTCTTGAAACAGCACGTTAATCCAGATGGAAGTAAATATGCCGAAATGGTGCTTCAGAAATCTTTAGATAGAGAGGAAAATCCACACCTTTCTCTGAAATTGCTTGCTGTCGATGGCGGAAACCCCCAGAAATCTGGTACAGTATTAATAGATATTAAAATTCTAGATGTTAATGATAATGCACCAGTGTTTAATCAAACAATATATAAGGCCACGGTGACCGAAAATGCCCCAAAAGGCACTCATGTTATCACTGTCAATGCAAGCGATATAGACAGCGGTTTGAATGCTCAAATAACATATCATTTTTCAAAATCAAAAGCAGGGAAAGCTGATCTATTTGATATAGATGAAACCACAGGAAAAATATATGTGACAAAAGAAATTGATTTTGAGAAAGACAAAAAAATTGAGTTCAGAGTCGAAGCAAAAGATCAGGGAGGACTTACAGATTCAAGCAAAGTTGAAATTGAGGTTCTCGATGTTAACGATAATGCTCCAGTCATTACGGTTATGTCTTTTAACAGTCCAGTCTCAGAAAACTCACCTATTGGTAAAACAATTGGAATCGTTAATGTTAAAGACGTCGATTCAGGAGAAAACGGACAAATGAGATGCGGGATTGAAGGAAATGTTCCTTTTAAAATAAAATCCAATGTCAGAAATTATTACGCCTTAACAATTGATGCTGAGTTAGATCGAGAAACTGTTTCAGAATACAACATAACTCTTGTTTGCTCAGATCAAGGATCTCCTATTTTTTCAAGCAAAAAATCGTTTAATCTCCAGCTCTCGGATATCAATGACAATGCCCCTGTGTTTTTGAAAAATAGGTTCAGTGCGGAAGTTAAAGAAAATAATTCTCCTGGCGTCTCCATTTTAACTCTGTGTGCTAAAGATTTCGATGAAAACCAAAATTCTAGGATTTCCTACATTTTAGAAGAGAAACAGATTGGTGGGTCCCCAATTTCTGAATACATTTCAGTAAATTCAGAAAGTGGAGTCGTTCATGCCGTTCGATCGTTTGATTATGAACAGATCAAAGAATTTGTATTCGTAACCAGAGCGCAGGATGGAGGCTCTCCTCCTCTCAGCAGCAACGTGACCGTAAAAATCCTGATCCAGGACCAGAATGATAACCCACCTCAGGTTCTGTACCCAGTCCAGACTGGAGGCTCCATGGTGGCTGAAATGGTGCCTCGTTCAGCAGATGTGGGCTACCTGGTGACTAAAGTGGTGGCTGTGGATGTGGACTCTGGACAGAATGCCTGGCTCTCCTATAAACTCCAGAAAGCCACAGACAGAGCGCTGTTTGAAGTGGGCTTACAGAATGGAGAAATAAGAACTATCCGTCAGGTGACTGATAAAGATGCTGTGAAGCAAAGACTGATTGTCATAGTGGAGGACAACGGGCAGCCCTCTCGTTCAGCTACAGTCATGGTTAACGTGGCGGTGGCGGACAGCTTCCCTGAAGTCTTGTCGGAGTTCACTGACTTTCCACACGATAAGGAATACAATGACAACTTGACTTTTTACTTAGTGTTGGCTCTGGCTGTGGTTTCCTTCCTTTTCATCACGTGTTTAGTGGTTATTATATCAGTGAAGATCTACAGATGGAGACAGTCTCGCATCCTGTATCACTCCGGCCTCCCTGTGATTCCATATTATCCACCTCGTTACTCAGAAACTTTGGGAACAGGAACTCTGCCACACGTGTGCAATTACGAGGTGTGCAGGACGACTGACTCCAGAAAGAGTGACATTAAGGTTGGCAGAACTGGTAGTCAGAACATGTTGATAATGGATCCCAGTGCCACAGGGACAATGCAACGGATACAGAGTGAGAAAAGCATCCTGGATGACCTCGACTCTCATCTAGAGGTTAGTTCAGACATTCTACCTTTTCTCTTTGCTGTAAGTTATCTCTCAATTTACAAATCATTTGAAGAAAAAAAAAAGCGTTGAAACACGTCCTAAAATAATAGTACTCTATATTAGATGCATATGCGTTGCGCTACACAATGTAAAATGGACAAAAAATATGTAGGGGATGAAAATGTGAGGTTCTTTGAACTCATTTGTTTTCTATCCATCCATCCATCCATTTTCTGAACACCCTTGTCCCTCAGTGGGGTCGGGAGGGGTCATTTGTTTTCTAATCCGGAAAAAAATAACTTCGGCAGGTGCGCAAATATACTCTCTGATTTGTATGCAGACACAATGTAGACGCTAACGTGCATAGATTTGAAGACATCATTGCCCTTCTATTTTTTATCAAAATGGTGGAATTTCTAAAAAAAAAAAAAAATAGGCCAACATAGTGTTTTTGGCATTAAAATAAAATATTCCAAACTTTATTGGAATTCTGAAAATATCCACAAGCCCCAATGTAGCAGTAGAAGAACTAACCTGTTGTGATCGTGTATGGTGGTTAAAAGAGAAAAGACATCAGTTATCATACGTGATAAATCACCACGTAGTCACCTTGTTAATTCCCCAAAAATAATGGTCAGTGAAAGACAACATATCATCATATGTATCGCTTCGTCACGCTATCAGGAAGTAATTTAAGCTTTTGATTACATGCTTCTGAGTTCTCTGTGTTGATCTTAGCAATAGATCTTTAGTTGTACATTCATTCATTTTATTATTTTTAGCTGTTTTATCTCCCTCTTCAATTTAAAAGCAATATTAAATCCTAAACTCAGAGGATACATATCTAAAGTATTACAGTCTTTAGCCGTCGTTTGACATTTCTGTATTTTTTTTTTAACTCTAAGCGACGCTGTTGGTCTGTAAAAAGATTTTCTGTGCATCTCGTCACTAAGGCTGTCCTCATGCAGAATGTGCAGAGGAGGCGGGTCGTTTTACTTTATTACAAATTCAAGGTAGCAGCTCTACCGGACTGATAAAAGAAGACTCGGAAAATCAACATTTATTAAAAAAAAAACATCAAATAGCATTTTAAGCCACGACAGAGTAAATAATCCTTTGGACAGTTTTCGCTTATACCTTTAAATGATGGGGAATATAAAATGCGTGTCCTTCGCTTGGATAAAATGGCGACTATTTTCCGGGATGCAACGGCAAATGGGGCTGCTTGTTTTTCTGCTTTATTTTATTTACATGGCAGATGCACAGATTCGCTATTCTGTGCCAGAGGAACTGAAGAAGGGCTCCGTCATCGGTAATGTGGCGCAAAATCTTGGCTTGGATGTAAAACGGCTCCGAACTGGACGCGCCCGTATTGTGACCGGAGAAAACGTTCACTACACCGAGCTGAATGCAGACAAAGGGATCCTCCTTGTGAACGAAAGAATAGACCGAGAACAGCTTTGTGGAGAGGTTACGCCTTGCAGCTTCAGCTTTGAGATGATTTTGGAGAACCCGATGGAGCTGCATAGAATTACTGTTGAGGTTTTGGATATAAATGATCATGCGCCCGTCTTTCCAAGCAAAGATAAACCAATCAGGTTTGAAGTCAGCGAATTAGCCGCTATCGGGGTGCAGTTTCCGCTGCAGACCGCAGAGGATTTAGATGTAGGCCAAAACGCGTTGAAGGATTATGTTTTATCACCAAACGACAATTTTATAGTAAAGCAACATGTAAATACAGACGGAAGTAAAAATGTTGAAATGGTGCTGCAGAAAGCTTTAGACAGAGAACAACGTCCCGACCTGCATTTGAAACTGATCGCAGTTGATGGAGGGACTCCGCAGAGATCTGGATCAGTGAATATAGATGTGACTGTGTTAGATGCCAATGACAATATTCCAGTATTTAATCAGTCGGTTTATAAAGCGTCTGTGGTGGAAAACACTCTTAAAGGTACAAGTGTTATTACCGTGAACGCCACGGACGCTGACAGTGGATCAAATGGGCTCATTTCTTTTAGTTTGTCTAAAACGAAAGGAAGCGCTGCGGATATTTTTAGCATCGATAATAGCACGGGCATAATTTATGTTTTTGGCGAAATAGATTTTGAGAAACAGAGAAGGTATGAGGTGCGAGTTGAGGCAAAAGATCAAGGTGGCTTGATTGGCACAAGTAAAGTCATAGTTGATGTAGTTGACATTAATGACAATGCCCCAGTAATAAGTGTGATGTCTTTTTCCAGTCCGATAGTAGAGAATGCACCTACCGGTACAACAGTCGCTATTTTAAACATTAAAGATGCTGACTCTGACAAAAATGGTCAAATTAAATGTTCTGTAGTTGGAAAACTTCCTTTTAGAATTGAATCATCTTTAACAAACTACTACAATTTAATCTTAGATGAAGATTTAGATAGGGAATCTGTCCCAGAGTACAACATAACGTTAACAGCTACTGATTTCGGTAATCCTCCTCTGTCATCGTTAACACAATTGCGTCTTACAGTATCGGATGTTAATGACAACGCTCCATTGTTTGACAAAAGTAGCTATTCTGCATACGTCGTGGAAAACAATCCAATTGGCTATTCTATATTTTCTGTCAATGCGCGGGACTCCGACTGGAATCAAAACTCCAGAATCTCATATATTTTAGAAGACACGCAGGTTGGAGGAAATCCAGTCTCTGTTTACGTGTCTTTAAACGCTGAAACCGGAGTCCTAAGGGCAGTTCGGTCATTTGATTACGAGCACATAAAAGAGTTTCAGCTTGTGGTCAAAGCACAAGATGGAGGCTCTCCTCCTCTCAGCAGCAACGTGACTGTGAAAATTCTGATTCAGGACCAGAACGATAACCCTCCTCAGGTTCTGTACCCAGTCCAGACTGGT